ACGAAGAATCTTTCCAATACAAATTATTCCTCACATAGACATCAAGTTGTGATGTGAGCATGTGTAAGCAGTACTTCATAGATGTAACCAAGTTATGTGCGAACTGATCGCGATTTCTCTGTGTAACAGCAGTATTAGTTCATATATATGAAGGAAAAAGTGTACATTTATTGATGAGAGCGTCAAGAATAATCCAGATATTGTAAGCGGTGATAAGATTAAGATGGGAGAGAAGATGCGATCGAAGCGGTGAATGCGTTGGAGTAAATGACGAAGTTGAAAACAGGAAAATCCGATGTTCTGCACAGCAATTCTCAATTGGAAACATAATTCCTGCCTACTCATAACCTCACTCACTTCACAATGTCACGCCAATCTGTACTGCATTCATTATCGATTATTTAACTGTATGTGAATCCATTACATCAAACTTGCTTGCTCGATTGATTGATTGCTTCATTGATGCTAACACGACTGCCTTCCTTCTCTCAACAGACTAAATTGGAATGTCCAACCAGTCAATGGAGCAGGATTCTGTCCAATCTGATTGACCACGAACCGAAGCGTCTCCTTCCACTTCACACACACAGCACAAAGTCAGTGTGTGTGCATATTTTCACCAAAATGTGACTCTGTAAATCATGCAAGTGATTTGGTACAGCGTCATTCTATTTTCTCCCCTTCTCTTTCTTCTCCCACCTAAGTAACCTCACATTCATTTTCACAAATATACACATATTCAGACGAGTTGATCGCTTTCTTCCTTTCCGAAAAGTCCATTTCCAGCGTTGCACTACACGAGGTTGGTCAGTCATGATGACGATTGTAACAGTGATGCAGAGGGCGACAGTGTTGCATTGTTGACGTGCGTGTTTGTATTTACACCGAAGCTCTGGATGTGAACATGTTGATTGAGTAGACGTCAGTGTGTGGTGACCAGATGAAGTTTATAGATGAGGGTAGGGCGGCGGGGTCAATTAGAACAACGAACGGCGCAAAATACTTGAGAGGATCTAGAATATACTAGACGGTGATGAGATAAGAGGCTCAACAATGACCGCTCACCAACAGCACTGCAAGTAGTCACAATAAACCATGCAATAGAATTGGCCATTGTAATATTTCTGAAATCTCACTAAACAATGTGGGATTAGAGATTGATAACTGAAGGCTTGTTGATCTAATCAACACGTGTTGTGGACATCAACAAATAGCGCTTTAATTCCCCCATGGAATATGGAGACAGAATTGTTGTGTGAGTGGGCGATGCACAGCTTTATAATGAATCCCATCAAAAATGACTTGTCGGTGAAGTTGTATGAACCGGATAGCCCGATATGAGTAGTGTTGTCTTCGCGAAGTCCTCCACTTCATTATTTACCTCAAATGCTGTGTTGAATGTCCGGTCTACTCGGAAAACAATTCTCGAGGAATGAAGTCATGAATTCCTCTCAGTTCACTCTTAGAGTTGCAGTCATCAATGTGTGTGCAAGGACGGTTTCCGTAGACGAGGAGACGACTGAATTCATTTTATTCTGCTGAGTGATAGACCAGTACTCCAGTTTTATTGTTTGAAGTTTTTGAATGTTTGTACCCAGTATGCAGCGTTCACATTCATCAATCAACTCTGTATTCGTAGCGAAGCCAATTTGAATGCTTGTCTTTATCAAGTCCATTCAACAGTTGGTTATATGATATTGCTACCTGTTAGGTGATCGACAGTACAAAACTCAGTGAGGCGTTTGAAGTGAATACAAGAGTAAGACAAGGCTGCCTGCCTATTATCACCGATGATATTCGTAATTGTGGTGGACTGGATTATGCGTCACACTATGCGTGGGGAACGAGGAGATAGGAATACCCTGGATCACCGATAATAAGACTCTAGAAGATATGGATTTAGCATGTATATCATGATATGATATATGTCTAATCTCACAATAATTCGAAGGCTTGCATACGAAAATCAACAAACTGGCTGAAGAGGCAGGCAGTGAAGACAGGATTCCAGATGAACATAGACAAGACAGGGGTGACGCACCCACAGTAACAACCCGCAGCAATCACCATCAACGGGAGAGGTTTGACAGATGATACTGAGTTCACCTACCTGGAAAGCACGGTTTCAACCACAGCCAGCGGAACTGATAAAGATGTCAAAGCCAGCCAGAATCGGATAGGCGAGATATGCCTTCATCAATTCGAAATCGGTTTGGAAATCTTCTGCGCTCAGCCAACATAAAGAACAAGATACGGAATTTCAACACAAATGTGAAGTCAGGCATTTATTCTACATGCGTCAGAAACTTGCACTGCGCGTTACAAAAAGGGTTTCCAACAGGCTACTGAAGACATTTTTCAACAGCCTCCTTCATTGGCTCTAAAGTGAAGATCAAGTGGCCAACAAGAAAGAATTTGCAACAAGAAACTCCGGCAGTGAACAAACCAACTATGGGCACTGAGTTTGAGTCTCGGTGGGAACATCATCACTCACTGTGGAGTGCATGTGCATCCAGTGACGAGTCCAAAATAGGATGAAATGCGCATCCTGGATTCCGCTGCTAGTCACCAACCACCGATTAAATTCAAACCAACCGAGAGTCGATTAGTCATCAATTATGTAGGAGAAAATACTGATGGATTGGGTATACGTTGAGGAGGCCGTCGAATGACATTGCATGCAATGCAGGCCATCGTTCGAGTGGAATCCCATTGGGAAGCGACGAGTGGGCGTGTATCCGGGAGTGACACGGAAGATGATCGCGTGGCGAGAAGTAGATGAGATAATATGGGCAATCATGGACCCAGCTGAAGAGGAAAGCAAAGAATAGAACAAAGTCGAAGTGTGTTGTTGAAGCCCTATTTTTTAATCGGATTCTAATGGGATAATATTAATAATAATACTGCTGCCATCCTTATATATCATCTACCTGCCAACCAACATCGATTCCTCAATTAAAAGATTCGCCAAACAGCTGTGCTACTTCTGTCTGTATTTACAAGTTCAGCTGTTCCTGTGGGACAGGTTACGCAGGACGAATAACAGGACAGGTCAACAAACGCATTACTGATCATCTTCTTTCGTCTTTAAGAAAAGCCCAACAAAGTGCATAAGACGCTCTGTTTTGTCTCATTTGATTGGTAACGTTCATGAAGTGCACAGGGAAAGCGCTTCCACGGTTGTTTATCACATTCCACCGGACTTTTCGTTTCATAGTCAGTTTAATGTTTAAAACTGAAACTGTGAGACCACATTTCATCCTAATGTGCAATAGTTCTCTGCATGCAAATGCACTCCAATCTGAGTGATGGCGTTCCGACCGAGTCCCGAACCCAGCAACCGTCGTTTCAAATGCCGGGCGTTATAAACGATAATGCATTGGTTATCTGTCACAGACAGCTCCCATAAGTGAGATATTGGTGGAAAGTGACAAAATGTCGGAAGTTAGTATACTTTTGTCAGCAATATCCATGTCTTGTATGCAATCGAAGAATTGGAAAGTATCATGAAGCGAATACGAGCATAGATGTTTCCTTACAGGTTCCAGAATATCCGTCAAGCCGTATAAAACAGAATGACATAGGGAATCTGACATATCTAGAAATGGACGGAGCTGGTGAACAAATTCGTGTATGTTTGGTAAACCATATAGTCTTGGTATTACTCAATTCGTTGGTCGGATATGATCACAGATATCGAGGCTAATTCTCTGATCGGTTTACATCCTTTTCAATTATTCAAATCCTTTTCTGTATTAACTAATATTAAATGACTGTGAAAACCCATCACATTTATTACTACCCACTTTCATGAAGAAATTTTATGTAGATGAGATTGTATAGCTAAAAAAAATGAATTCCCTAAAAAGAGACTCTTCGATGAAATACGCTTTTCATTAGAGGTAGAATCTTTGAAAATCTAACGTTTTCAGTTCGAAACGTCTTTGAACAAGCATTCAAATTGGCTTCGCTACGAATACAGAGTTGATTGATGAATGTGAACGCTGCATACTGGGTACAAACATTCAAAAACTTCAAACAATAAAACTGGAGTACTGGTCTATCACTCAGCAGAATAAAATGAATTCAGTCGTCTCCTCGTCTACGGAAACCGTCCTTGCACACACATTGGTGACTGCAACTCTAAGAGTGAACTGAGAGGAATTCATGACTTCATTCCTCGAGAATTGTTTTCCGAGTAGACCGGACATTCAACACAGCATTTGAGGTAAATAATGAAGTGGAGGACTTCGCGAAGACAACACTACTCATATCGGGCTATCCGGTTCATACAACTTCACCGACAAGTCATTTTTGATGGGATTCATTATAAAGCTGTGCATCGCCCACTCACACAACAATTCTGTCTCCATATTCCATGGGGGAATTAAAGCGCTATTTGTTGATGTCCACAACACGTGTTGATTAGATCAACAAGCCTTCAGTTATCAATCTCTAATCCCACATTGTTTAGTGAGATTTCAGAAATATTACAATGGCCAATTCTATTGCATGGTTTATTGTGACTACTTGCAGTGCTGTTGGTGAGCGGTCATTGTTGAGCCTCTTATCTCATCACCGTCTAGTATATTCTAGATCCTCTCAAGTATTTTGCGCCGTTCGTTGTTCTAATTGACCCCGCCGCCCTACCCTCATCTATAAACTTCATCTGGTCACCACACACTGACGTCTACTCAATCAACATGTTCACATCCAGAGCTTCGGTGTAAATACAAACACGCACGTCAACAATGCAACACTGTCGCCCTCTGCATCACTGTTACAATCGTCATCATGACTGACCAACCTCGTGTAGTGCAACGCTGGAAATGGACTTTTCGGAAAGGAAGAAAGCGATCAACTCGTCTGAATATGTGTATATTTGTGAAAATGAATGTGAGGTTACTTAGGTGGGAGAAGAAAGAGAAGGGGAGAGAATAGAATGACGCTGTACCAAATCACTTGCATGATTTACAGAGTCACATTTTGGTGAAAATATGCACACACACAGACTTTGTGCGTGTGTGTGAAGTGGAAGGAGACGCTTCGGTTCGTGGTCAATCAGATTGGACAGAATCCTGCTCCATTGACTGGTTGGACATTCCAATTTAGTCTGTTGAGAGAAGGAAGGCAGTCGTGTTAGCATCAATAAAGCAATCAATCAATCGAGCAAGCAAGTTTGATGTAATGGATTCACATACAGTTAAATAATCGATAATAAATGCAGTACAGATTGGCGTGACATTGTGAAGTGAGTGAGGTTATGAGTAGGCAGGAATTATGTTTCCAATTGAGAATTGCTGTGCAGAACTTCGGATTTTCCTGTTTTCAACTTCGTCATTTACTCCAACGCATTCACCGCTTCGATCGCATCTTCTCTCCCATCTTAATCTTATCACCGCTTACAATATCTGGATTATTCTTGACGCCCTCATCAATAAATGTACACTTTTTCCTTCATATATATGAACTAATACTGCTGTTACACAGAGAAATCGCGATCAGTTCGCACATAACTTGGTTACATCTATGAAGTACTGCTTACACATGCTCACATCACAACTTGATGTCTATGTGAGGAATAATTTGTATTGGAAAGATTCTTCGTTAGCCGGTATCGCGTCATTTCATGCAGAAGCATTTAGAGAAATTGGATCAATAGGGAATGATGGTGGAGATGAGCAGAATGAAGTGAAATCAGCAGTGGAATGCAGTGCAGTGTAGTGGAGTGGAGTGTCGTGCAACTCACCTTCTCATTCGACAACGAAGCTCACTCAGGCGGTCACCGAAATCACTTGTGCTCGTTCTCTCTTCAGACCAGAGTTGTTCAGCTATTGCAGCAGCGTGAGGCCTTTGATGGATAAGATATGTAAAGGTGAGTAAAAACAATCAGATGTACTCAAAAACAGTACGAGTTATATGATTGGTGATATTTAAATATGGTTGGAGCTGGTGTAGATATGGTTGTGAATATCTCTGTCGATGTCAGTGACAATTCCAAGAACTAACAACTTCACCACGTCTCTACACTACGGTGTGTAGATGCAAGTCATTCTTGCATCTGTTCGTCTTTGAATGAGAGAGAATATCACCTTGATTTTAGAGGTTCACATTGTCCTATCCTTGTGAAAACTTCTGCCTCTTTGCTAACTTCCAATCAGTCATCCCTTATAGGATACATCTCGCATTACGCAATACATTTTTAGAGGACAAGTTTTACCAGTATCTGATTGGTCTAGTGATTTCTCTGTTAATGATAATTAGGACTGTACAGCTCATGAAAGTGAATCCTCGAAAAGAATATTTTCTTCGCTCTTTACACCTTTTTCTCTCGAAATCTGCTTTTCAGGCTACGATTTTCAACCGTTTCAGAAACGATGCGTTTTCCACCTGTAGTCAGACGCGTGATCGGGTTTACAAACTATGAGTTGAATAGCAAAACACACCATCCATCTCTTACCATGAAACCAACATCAGATTCACATCATCCACGTAGTCCCCCGGAATCACACCTTCTCCTCCAACCACCAGTGTGGATTTCTCTGAGCTACCTGAAACAATTGGAAATGTGGAATTCAGTTAACAGCGTGAATGTGACAGTGGAAATGAAATTGTATGATTGTGACTGAGAAGGGGAAGTCAGTTTGTGATTTCATGTTACTCTGTGTGACTGTTGATTTTGTGTGTATGTTTTTGTACCTGGTGCTGAATGGGTCGATCGTCCACATAGACACTTGACTCAGGTTACTAATTCACCTTTTCGCACACACACCCACGCACACACATGAAGATTCTCCTCACTATCGTGGATATCTTTCTGCTACATATGAGCCAGGAATCGGTGAGGACTGCGGTCTGATGACTTCAGAGATCTCTCGATCTGTATGTCAGTATCTGAGATCACTTTTCTGTCAGAATTACGTGCAAGGAATCACTCTGAATTCACTTATTGTAACCTCACACAGGAGATTGAGATTGGTGATTGTGATGACAGAGTTTTTCGAGGGATGTTATTTATGCAGTGTATCTACTATGATTTAATTGAATAGATCATCAGCACTCTGAACCTCTGAATGAGTTACATTTAACTCATGACATATTAATGTTGAGATGACACAATTGATCGAGTGAAGTGAATGATGACGAGTACTAGTCACTTCAAACATTACTTGAAACACCTAGAGAAAAAGATAATTCTAGTTCGAAATATTTGCATGACTCATCTACGAACCTCATGAATCTCAGAAAGACTTACCTGTCTAAGATAAAATAGAAACAAACAATTGCAAGAAGTTGGAATTACCTTCGAAATTCAAGGGATCACACTCGTAGAACGACTGCCAGTCATCTCCAACACCCACATCACTGAAATTCCAACACGACGATATGAGAACTTTGAATCCCGCTCCCGTGATCTCCTCAACACTCTTCTTCCATCCTTCAGATTTGTGCACTTGAACAATCATATCCTTGTCACTCTAAACACAGAAGAAGAGGAATTCACCAGTTAGTCAGTCAGTCAGTCAGTGAGTTACATGTTGATTGTGTTGAATGATGTGGAGTAGGTGGTGTGAGGCAGTTAGTTATTAGTAGATGGGGACACATCGAACTCTGACACAATTGAGTAAGATACTGAGAAATATTTCACAGAGTGAATCATGAGGAGTGTCAGTTTATCATTTTGTGGTGTTTGATGTTTCTGCGCATCAGTGATCAGGATTTTGATTTATGGTGTCATGCAGTAGACGAGGATCTCTTCTAAACCCTTGAATAATACCCTGAGTGAATAATAGGAGTTTGCAGTCGCTTTGGTTTCTGCTCAGTATACATCATGTGTACAGCAAGATACAGGAGTATGTTCAGTCTAATGAATAATTCACACTCAGTGATTACCAGCGCCATTCAGGTTACTTCAAATATCACACTTCAATACACAATGCACTATGGTAAAAATTTTGCGTCAAAATATATTATCCTACCATGCAGTTACACTCTATCGAAGGGAATATATATTCTATAATTTTCGTCAAACAATTCGTCTCGCATTAGATTTGTGAAGTGAGACTGGTGGGTGACTTCATTTCAGTGTTTCCGCTCAAAGACGACCAATCTATATGCGTATCACTAACTTCAACCGATAGACTCAACTCTCTGAATTTCCACTACAAGTGAGTGAACAGCGACACCAATCCCTCAATCTGTAAGTTAGAATAGAAATGTGACTATGATTGGTGCAGACATTCGGCATTTTAGTATGAGATCATTAGTTCAGTTTATTAGGTCACACCATATTTTCATGCGAAATACCAAATGATAGAGAAATTAGTGTCTGACCGGTATCAATATTACCAATACAGACTTACACGAAATCCATTCTCATATACATCCTGCCAAACAATCGGAACCATTGCAGATCCAGATACCAACGATGACGATTTGACAATTTCTACAAGTTGTTCCATGTAGTAGTTTTCCAACTGTGAGTAGTCAGTGTTGAATTGTTTCTCCTGCATGAAATTTGTGATGTCAGGATTGGACTGCCTGTGAAACGAGAGTGGAATAATGAGGAGATAGTTTGTGTTTCGGTGTGAGAGACGAGTATACTGACCAAAATTAGATGACCAATGTAATCGAATTATGCAAATTCACACTGCTCCTCTCCTCATATGCTAATCTCCATCACTCTCACATTCCCTCGATCACTTTACACATATTCCTTCCTCACGATAATGACATTATGCTCCACTGATTAATAGCTGTTCATAGAATTGTATCAAGTCCAAGTGAAGGAATACACCGAAATACTTATCGAACCCACCCACCTCATATCCATTCCATCACACATCACTTCAATTCGCTCTCTTGCTCACTCACTCTCCATCCCTCTCCTACATATTTCCACTCTGATATTAAGGCTGTGTCGCTCAAATCATTGTGAATAGTATGTGAGAAATGCATTGATTGAGTGAATCAGTGAAACGGTGCAGGATAATCATATTAGTGAGAACTCACCAGCATGTGAAATCCACGTCATCACCGCCCAAATGAATGTGGTTGTCAGCAGAAAATACACTGAGAATTTCCTGGTACAAATTGTGAATGAAGGTGAGATTGGTTGGATTGATGGGACCGAGTATCTGATTTCCTTCTTCGTCTTGAGTGTGACAGGGAGTGAGTACATCGGGATAGCCATTTCCCCATGACTGTGTATGTGCTGTGAAATGAGAGAGATGAAATATGAGATGTGGATGAATTCTGATGCTGATAGTCATGAAAAGAAATTATTTGATTCGGAAGGTTTCATTTGACCTGAATGTAAGTGTGATCGTGAGTTGAAATCTATCGAAAATTCATGAGGCAACTGTTTCTGCCTGACCTACGTACTTGGGTGTGAGGATTCATTGTTGATGCTCCGTCCTTTCTTTATTTCTCACAGTAATCTTAGTCATTTTGCATTTCCATCTCCATATATGTATATACCTACAGTTAATCTTCACGATTCATAGGCGCAAATGAGTCTGATATTTGCGTCTGGATTATGCCGTAGACGGTCGGGATTCCATGGCTAGTTCTGCCGAACACCCACTATATGTAATCCACTTACATTTTTCGCAAAGTAATCTGTATAGATAGTGGAATCGCTCACATTCTTCATTAATTTAAGTGACTCTATCACAATGATAAACAAAAACTGTTTGGGAAAGAGACTCTCCATATCGAGATATCAGCTTGATTGAACTGATCGCTTCAAGGCAAATCGGTCTGACTGCAGATGTGTTGCTATCAGAAGACATGCACACCACTGAATTGAAGTCAGTGATTCTCATTGGAATGAAAAGTATCCCATTGAGTCAACCTACTTCTAATTTACCATTCAATCAGACAGTCAAGTTATTCATGAATAATCCTCAGTCAGATATTGATGAAAAACAAAACACGTAGTTCAACGAAGAGTCACTTTTCAAGGAATTCATTTTAAAAAACTGTTAACAATTAGCCTCTATGAATTCACAAATCACAACCAAGTCATGAAAGTTCAGGGATTTCGAATATCAGGGTGAATACCAGTCTAGTAACAAGGAGTATTCACTGAAAACCCAAAATGGATTTGAATGTTTCAATCCACACGTGACAACATGACACTCACCTGGTGTATCGAACTCCGGAATTATTCGAATTCCACGAACACGCCCATACTCCAGTAAATCAACTATCTCATTACGCTCGTACACGTACGCCTCAGGATGATATGCACCCTTCAGTTGTGGTGTGAGTCGAATAAAATTGAAGAATTGATTAGTCTTACCTTATTTGACAGATCAGGATATGTGGAGGAGACGTATGGGAATGATTCAGTGTCTGTGATGTGCCAGTGTAGAACATTCATTTTCACCATGGCCATTGCATCCTAAAATGTGTGTGTAAGTGTGTTAGTGTTTCATGTCTCCCTCGAGTGGAGGGAGGTGAATGATGACTTACAATGAACTTGTGGATTTCTCCGATGGTGAGGAAATGTTTCGATGTGTCTAGCATGAGTCCACGATGTGGAAATCGAGGTGCATCTTCCACATAGACATTCTTTATTAATTTCTGAAAAATAATTTCCTTGGCTTCAATTACCACTTACAAAATTCCACTCATCGTTGTATGCATTCTGGAGTACAGTTTCTAATGCATGAAGGACTCCCCAAACTTCAGTCGATGTTATATTCAACGTGTTTATCTGAAGATCAATCTTATCTTGACACGTTCATTCGTGTAATCTTGTATTTGCTTACATGATTCATCCATTGAGTGAGATGGTCGGAGAACGGATTCACTTTCATCACATCCTGCAGCGATGTTTATCTCGATTGCATTTATCAAGCAGGTATCTTTATATGATGTGTCTGGTGGTGGTATGTCTTTTGCATTCAGACGTTCTTTGAATCGTCTCACAGCTTGCATTAATATAAAGCATGTGGGATATTTATGTTCAATTGCCACATGTTCAAGGAGGTTACAGTATTTCTTATCCTTCAGGTGATATTTGTTTGGTTTAGGTATCAAAGTGAGTGATGGCGAAATTATTATCAAACATATAAGCGTCAACAAGATACACCGAGTCATGGCAACAATGAAATTGTACTGTTCAGAATAAAGCACCTACTACGAGTATCTTACTGTTATTGGTGGTAACCTTCATTTGTCTTTCATACCATCAGGACTATATATATGTGTGTGTTTATCTCGTGGTATTGTGTACTGATTGGTCAACAACATGAATAAAGTATGGGTGAAGGTTGTCTGTTGAACTAAATGGAGTGCTATTATTGGTCTTAATTCTGAAGGTCATTCCACAGCGTTTGACTCAATGTGAGAATTGAAGTTTACGTAGGTATTCAGAGTTAGATAGACATTCAGGCTGCTAGGCAGACATACAGGAGTCACAATAGGAATTTAGAAGCCAAAAACTCATTGTGGAGATGAAGATCCACTGGTTGTGAAAGTGATGTTGACAGGTATCCTGTGACGTGTTGTACTAACTGTAGGCAAAGATTCTTGAGTAGAGCTGAGAGCTTCCTAAGTTGTAGAATGAATCCTTACGCCTATCTCTCATCAACTGCAGTGAATAACTACTTGTCTGCTTGATGTCTAGTGTTTCCAACACAGTATTAGACTCACCAGTCTCTCGACAGGTGGCGTCATTTGTCAAACCATCTCTGATACGCCATGATCCGTAGCACTCCATCTAATTACCACTTCTTTTTCAGGTTTAGAGCGTTGATGAATACTTCAGAATCTCGTTAATATAATTTTGTCCAATATTATATATACATGACAAACGGGATTGTGTTAGCAGCCATCTTATTTCTGTGAACCATATCAACGAAAATGATGTCTGGTATTCACTAGTGGCCTTATTCCACTAACTTGTTTTTATGCATTTCCAGCTCATGTACAACCACGTAGATGCACTCTATCAATGATAACCAACAATGGTCAGTGTATGGGAACATCTTTCATCGATGATCGTTTCAACTTCACTGACAAGTAGAAGACACAAAGAACACAGGCGATAAATTCTGACAGTCAAGTGTTTCTACTGAGACTCGAAACCACCGGGTTGAGGAAGTAATTTCAGATTACTAATTATAGTTATTTCGAGCTGACTCCTCGTTGAACTGACACTCCGAATAAGGCTGGTCACTTAAGTCGGAATATAAATCAGGGTGAAATCACAAGTCTGGAGAAATGATAATGATAAATTTGACGATGATAAACGGATAGATTATCTACATATTCGTTGTATAAGGGGTAATACTGCATTTAGTTTCGTTCTTACTGCTATTTGAACACACAGTAATGTACGAATGATTACTCGAACACTATTCGCACACTAAAAACGACACAGAAAACTGAACGAGAATGCTAAAATCTATTGTATTTAGAGAAAGAGGGCAATCCGTTGCAGCTCATCACTTCGTTTTAATCCGCTTATGGTTTGTAGGTTGTACAGATACATGAGATTGTATACATTCAAGTTGGAGAGTGTGGTAATCAGATTAGAGGTAAATTTATGAAGTCATATCTGATGATTGATTTAACAGGCTACTGTCATGGTGATTCCAATCTACAGATAGAAGTCATCAGCATGTACCTCTGTGAAGTGACTGGTGGAGAATGCCTACCTCGTGCTGTCTTGGTTAATTTTGATCGTGCGACTATGGCGAAGGGTTGTTCAAGCTCCATTCTCTAAATTATTTTGAAGTCGTAACACTGTCTTCGGATAAAGTGGATTGGAGAAAGGCCAATGAAAGCAGAAGTCACAGCTATTGATGTGGTTATTTTGCACCAATCAACTACAAGTTTAAGATTTGAAAACAATAAGCTGATTGGTTGACATGCAGAAACCAAACCCTCTGACAACACTTTCAATGTAGATTTGGATCGAATGCCTCGTCTACAAATCACGTAACCAATAAGTAAAATCTCCTCTCTTCTTCTAACAATATCTTAGTTATCTAAAAATGAATTGAAACAAGCCAGTAATGTGAGTGAAGGAGGATTTAATGGATTTGTAGAATATCAGTAGAACTCTTCAACAGAATTCTATGGAAAATAAGTATGGAAACTAACCCCATTAGTAAGTAAATTACAAGTTTATTTTTCACATTTTTTGCACTTTGCAGATTTTGTAACGAACTGATTGATTTTATATAGTGGACTCCCTAACTCCCCGTCAAATCTTCCCACCTTTCTCAGGCATGTTGTTAGCTAAATAGTCGGCTCTTTTATTATCCCTTATTTGTGATCTATGGTGACAATATCTCAATTAACTGACCATCTTAGCTACTATCAATGTGATTATTATTTACAATTTTCAGTATATATATACACATTACTTCACTGTCACTACAAATACCATATGAGAACCGTCATTACCAATCCTGTAATATTATTCCTAAAATTGTTTTTAATGTTGTTCGATATAATTGACTGATAATCTCAACTACAATCATTATTTTCATCCTTATTTTACAATTTCCTTTTTGTTTATGGTCTCACTGTCACCTCTAATACTAAATAATAAGTGTCATTAACAATTCTGTAATGTCATCTTTATAACTGTTTTTAATATTATTCGATAAGATAAGATGCAATAATGTGCCAAATGCTGAAAATGCCACACTGTAACATTAGTACTGTTCTGGAATAAAGCACATTATTATTATTATTTGCAGGTTTTGTAACCAGTTGATTGATTTTCTGTAGCAGGGTCCCTAACTCCCGCCTTTCTCGGGCATGTATTCGACCAACAAAAGACTCAAGAGAATTTAGACTTCGTGCATAATTTAAGTCTACTATCCTGAAAACTCGAGGATCTATAAGCAAAAGCCAACAGCCGTTTCGTCTGAGCATGGAACTATTCTTCTGTACTTCCCTCTGGGGTAGTCCAGTAGTGTCCAGTACTCACTGGCTTTCAATGGTCCTCTAACGGACATCAACTTGAAGCAAATCAAAGTCCTACATACGAACTATTGAGAAGAACCAACAAGTTGGCAGGAGATGCAGAGAAGGCAGGACTTCGAGTGATCCAGGGGAAGACGGAGATGATGAAGACACCTAGATTACAAAAACCAACAGAAATCACCATTAAACAGGAGGAAAGTCACATCTTTTACTTGTTTAGGAGCTGTTGTTTGAATTACAGGCGGCACAGGTGAGGATTTCAGAGCCAGAAAAGGAAAAGTGAGACATATTTTAATTAACTTGATATCATTGTGGAAATCTACTGCTAACAAGATCTGAATTTCCATTGTCAGGGTCGGTCACGACTGTACTTCTGTATGTTCCAAGGGGATTGGTGCTTCCCGAAAGCATTTTCCATCAGATTGCTACAGACACTCATCAACTAATGATTTGCCTGGCTCGATAGTGAAGACCGCATAGCAAGCTAAGAACCCTAAACATCCAGAAACTCTAGCACTACAAAGAACCCGTGGAGAAACCGTCACCCAGTGAATATACAGAAGGAGACGAATATGGACTAGACATATGTTGACAAGAGCTTCAAGTGACATCACGCGTAAAGCAGGCCCTCGAGTGGAACCTGAATGTGAAACGACGAGTCATGCTCCCGGTAGTGACATGTTGGAAATCCTTAGAGTAGCAGATGAAAGTCAATGGGTGTTCGTGGGGCCTGATGAAACACATCACACAGGAAGAATTAAAGTTGAGATATGGTCCTGAAGCTCTGTGTCACACCTGACAACTGGTATTTCTCAAATACAATAATATAATTCACTTGAGCTATAATTTTCCTCTATCTTTTAACTCCCAGACCATTGAAGCACCAGCTGGTTGGTGCTGAAGATTACTAGCCAGGCAGTGCAATTGCTTTCTCCACCAACTTTAACAACTCTTCATCTGACTGCTTATTCTATATCATCTTCATCAAATGAAACACTTCCATACACAGGCTTCACTAAAATGCTTAGGAGAATTATATTCTCTCCCATTTCTTTACAATACTTATACATGTGCCTTTTACGACATCAAACACTGGATAAAATTTCCTTGAGGACGTTAATTTCCCATTTGATTATAATGTGAGAACAGATTTTTCGCGCACTAATCAATAATGTTTCGACTAGATTCCTTTATTTCTGGATCTGAAGAAAGCCGCCAAATTGTATCCACTGTCCCTTCCTTTTTTACCTAGAAAAACATTTGGGAGTTTAATCTATAAATCCCCTGGTGTTGTGATGTGAAGTTAACATCAGGATGGTATCAGGTAAAATTCTTCAGTAAGTTTCCTGATTCCAACTTACTTTCAGAGACAGTAAGAATACCATTGACGTCTTCCCGACACAATTCCGTCTCTTAGACATACTGTCATGCAGTGCCAGTTAATTAAGAGAAATCCTCCATTCAAAATTCTGAAACAAATTAATAATAGAATATTTATGCAGTGGTATCCCATCTTTCTTGTGAAATGACTACATCAAATAAGCCGTCTAAGTTCAATTCTACACTTATAAATAGGGATCGCTAGTTGACGTCATTTAGAGAAGCATTATGAAACCTGACAGTATTGGACAGCTGTTTCGTCCTAGTTAGGGACTCTTCGTGGGTATGCACTAAGTGAGCATCTGTAGCTATACAACTACGCATGTTCAGTTAGTTTGATGATTGAAACTGAATCTATAAGACCACAAAAATCTATTTTAATTAAATTTGAAGCTTGTTTTGTTAAGTTGGTTTGGTTTTATTAAATTTTATTTTTCTTTCTAAGTGTGTATAAGTAAATGAAGACGATACTTTGATATAAACGTATCAAAGTATCCAATTCAAATGAATGAAAAGACATTAAAACATCTTTATACATGTTTACAACAATATGCCTTATCACAAGGTAAACAAAGTTTGATGAGTTTATAATAAAAGAAGAGATAGAAGAACTGGACTTTGAGATTGTTTATCTGAGATCACCTTACACCAACCGAAGTTCATTGTTCAGCTGATCAGAAACGATCAACAAATATTTTGTGATTGTATGAGAGATTGACAATGAAGATTATGATGCACTACAAAGTGAGTTACGTCACAATGATAAATACTGAATTAAGAGAGAGTGAGAGAGGAGTTTGAAAATCTTAAGAAATGCACAGAGA